AATATTTTTTGAAATATCGATGTTTTTGTGCGAGAAAAAACGTGAGAAGTCCAAAACCTGATATGTTAGCCTTTAATACATTCCTTTTAAATTTACATTAAAATGGTGCACAGTTTGAAAAGACAGTAAAGATAGATTATTTTTGTCGTCATGTATGCGTAACTTCAAATTTATGCACACAATGAAGTGTAATTGTGATCAGTGTAAATCAAGACTGTGACATTAGTATCAGTTGATCAAGTTTTAAATATAGAATACCAAGAAATAAAAAATCTAAAAAATACTAGTATGGCAAAACATTTTGCATGCATTTCTCTATCTTATTGATGACAAAATAAGTATCGCACAAATGCAAAATATTATTATGTTCCCTTGTTATTTTTACAAGACCGAAGCCAAGTCAATTAAGCGTTTTTAGATGGATTAAAAGAAAATAACAACATGCATGGGTGACAAAATAACGCACAAATGCAAAATATTATTATGTTCCCTTGTTATTTATAACAAGACCGAAGCCAACTCAACTGAGCTAGTTTTTTGTTGGATTAAAAGGAAATAACAGCATGGAAGACAAAATAACACAAAATTATTTATTATTTAAGACATCATTTGTAGACGTCATAAATCTCTCTCTCTTACCACAATCCGCCATATTTGAAGCCCACATTTCTTTCCCGCCTTTTTCCATGCCTTCTCCTGTTCTGCTGACTCCTCTGCAAAAAATTGAAAATTTTTTTTGTTTCAAAAAATGACAGTATACAACATTTAATTTTGTACCATGTTATTGACAAAATATAGCAGGCTTCATTACCCAGTCGTTCTTATGGTCTTGAGTTGAATTAATTTTGTTGAAAGGAATATAAATAAATATAATGTATAATAGTTCGACGTCGATAAGTAATTTTGACAAAGGAAAAGGGGAGGGGAGGGTTAAATCATAATCAATGGAATACGGAATTTATTCTGAGAAAGAAATAAAAAGAAAATATTTAAAAAGACCGATCGTTCATGTTTTGTAAGACAGCCATTCACTTCTTTTTTTTAACTTGGTAGGATTTCGGGGGGGGGGGGGTTTCACTGATATGTATTCTTTGTTAATTTTTTAAAATTAATTACGGTTCGTTCTCTTCACATTTTCTTTGTTATAAAAATAGAAAGAATTCAGTCATATAAGGGTTGATAAGAAAGAATGCCTTTGTCAAGTTTGTATCTAATGTAAAATCTGAAATATTACAAGTAAAATTGTTAGTAAACAAAAACTTTTCGATATATAAACTTCAGCAACATTGTGTAATAATTTATATAATGTGAAATATAAATGTTAAGGAGTTTCTCCTTTCGTGACGTGTCCAATTACATATCCTGGTACTAATATCTCATTCTTTAATCCGATTTATCTATTCCCAAAAAGTCTCACATATCTGCATCCTGAATAGATTGCTTCCGTACAGTCATGCACATCAATGTAATACATGTACATGTATGGAACGCCGTCACTGCCTTATAGCAGAACACTACTTAGTACTATTGCATTGTGTCAACCTTCCATTACATTGTGTCAACCTTCCATTACATTATGTCAACTCTTTATGACATTAACCTACACTACTATTGCATTGTGTCAACCTTCCGTTACATTATGTCAGCTCTTAATGACATTAACCTACACTACCATTGCATTGTGTTAACTTTCCTTTACATCATGTCAACTCTTTATGACATTAACCTACACTACTATTGCATTGTGTCAACCTTCCATTACATTATGTCAGCTCTTAATGACATTAACCTACACTACGGTACCATTGCATTGTGTTAACTTTCCTTTACATCATGTCAACTCTTTATGACATTTACCCACACTACTATTACATTGTGTTAACTTTCCTTTACATTATGTCAACTCTTTATGACATTTACACATACTAAAATTATATTTCGTCAACTTGCATTTCGATATGTTTACTTTTCATGACAACTTAGTTTTTACTAACTGATGTGAAAAGCTCATACCATACTGTGCGCACTCTTCTACATTATGTCGATTCACTATTACGTTATGCGAACACGGGTATCCTCGGCCTTTATATGAACATAACGTATTTTCCGCGTTCCGCGAGCACTGACAATGGCGGGAGAGAAAACTGTCGTAGAAGAGATTCTCAGCGATTTGGGAATGACATCTTTAACACTGCGACTGTGAATTAAAGTCACGTCGAAATTCAATGGTGTTTACTTTAATCTGATTATTAAATAAATCGTGCAACAATTTTTTTAAAGTCTTAAACTTTGTAAGACAATACATTAGCTTCACATTAAGTTTAGATGAATTAAGTTGAAAACTTTTTTTCTATAAAACTATAAAGCCTGAAAGCTTCTCCGCTTTTCGCCCTTGATCTCCAACCATGCATATACCGCCCCCTTCCTTGTTCAAGATTCCCATATCCACCACTGATATGTGCCCATGCATGCTTACTAAGGCATATTCAATTGATTTAGATGAGCGACTGGTAGATTTTTGTAATAGAATTCTGGCCCTGGAATGGTTAAAAAATTTACTGATTCCAGTGACGTAGCATCTTTTTTTTGAAAGAGGGGGTCAGCCAGAAAAAAAATATTTACCCGAAAAAACTTGACAAGCTAAGAAAAAAATTGTCAAAACCAGAAAATCCTATTTCATGGAGAGGGGTCCAACTTCGATCAGTCCTATTTTTTCCAGATATACTGCATTACCCTTAGTGGACAATACTTCATGCAGCAAAAAGTAGGGGATGGGGGCTGTACAGTTTCAATGAACATTACATTTTCTATAGTAAAGTTATGTCTGGGAAAGGAGGGGGGTTGATATTATGTGCCTGTAATTCGTCCAAATCAATCAGCCCCCCCCCCCCTTCTTACCAGTCATTAAAACACGGTCGTCATAATTCATTATATACTAGATATACAGCTTTGAGATAATGTAAATGTATTTTAACATCAGGTAATGAACTTTGGGAATCAACATGATAAAGAGTTAACACAATATAAAGATATTTTTAAATCACATTAGAAAGAGTTGACATAACGTAATTATATATCCACATCACGGAATGGAGTTTTGACATACTGTAATAAAGTGTTGATATAATATAAAGATATGTTCACATTATGTTATACACTTTTTACACCACCTAATAAATCACTGAAATAAAGATAAATCCATATCACATAATAATGCTTTGATATAATAGAAATATACACTCTCAAAAAGGAATGGGCTTTTGACTTCATGTAATAATAAGTTTAATTATAAAACACAATGTACTTGACGTAATACAATTTTTACCTCACATATTAAAGAAATGAAATGATGTAAAGAAACATTCATTTCACATAATAAAATTTAACACAATATAAACACATTATCACTTCTCATAATGAATTTTTTACTTCAAGTTATAAAGTGCTGACATAATGAAAGAATGTATTTACTTCATGTAATGCAGCATTGACATGATGTTAAGATATATTTACATCATCTCACAAAAAAAAATGGACATAACGTAAAGATATGTTCACATCACGTAATGATAAATTGATATAATAAATGCATAGTTGTATGCTATAAGGCAGTGATGGCGTTCCATATATATGTATACACGGAATACGTTGTAACTACATGTAATTTAGTTACTGTACAAAGTATTTCCTGATTAAAGCAGACGTTTAAAACCCATTTAGGTATTAACATTTGAAGTTACATGTATATTGATATACGAAGAAAGTTTTTCTTTGGTGCTTCAAACAATGAAATAAGATAGAATTTCAAAAAAATGTGCTAGTCTGATACATCTTAACTTTTCCCGGTTTTCCAAGCCTTTTTCAAGATTTTGAAACGGCATGTCAAATATCAAAATCGTGAAAAACGCCTGGAAAAGCGTAAGATATTTCAAACTAGATAGATTTGAGATTGTTTCAGCTTAATTCTCTCTCTCTCTCTCTCTCTCTCTCTCTCTCCATATGGAACTAAGAGAAATGCTTATGTAAACATTTTCTATTCAAATAAGGAAGAATTCGTATATGTATTTAAACTCTTCATAGTAAATATTATTATGAAAATAAATATTTAAATGCTTCAGCAAAACAGGACCTCTCTAAACGCAATCAGACGTATTTCACAACCTTTCCTTGTACATGAGCCTATAATTTCAAAATAACACAATGAGTCATATTTACTTAAAAAAATTAAATGTAGAATTCAAGGAAATAAAAATATATACGAGTATACAATGTACCCTTGTATGGTCTTTGCTTCAAAAAAAAATTCTCCAAACGTATTGAATAAACGATGATAATGTAATAAAAGGAGGCATCTAAATGTAACACGAGATATGGTCACCTTTTCTAACCCTTATAAAGTGGTGTACCCATTTCATTCATCAAACAGCAGTTTGTTGCTCTTGTTGGTAAATAACTGACCATTAATTTCATGCATATCTTAACGTCCGAAAAATGACGAGGAAAAGGTGTTCTTGTGGTCATGCATTAGACATTCTTGTTAACTTCTTAGCAGATGCTTAAGGCAGAAGATTGATAAAGAAGAAAATTTGGACCCTTTCCATTTGTCTGACTTACTTTTGACCTGTCTTTCCGTGTCGGATCCGAATAAGGCGAGGTTGCTGTCTTTCCAATCGTACTGCTTCTGTTTGATCATTCTATTGAAAAAAAAAATTAGCAGATTGAATTTAGGATAAAGTTTAATTGCAGATCTATATAAATATAAACACATTTATGTAAACTAGCCTTGGTAATTATACTAAGTATTGCGTAAATGTTTTATCTGTATTCTTTTTTATCAGTAGAACGACCTTAAATAAATATAGCTTTTAAAAAATTCGAACGCTTTATCTTGCACAGTTTGACGACTTTAAAATCCCATTCAAGAAAAACTTTTTTTTTAAAATGTGTGTTACTGAATATGAATACATTACACGAAACTTTGTCTTTGTAATTGATCTTAACTTAAAAATCGGCAAGTGTATCACTTTTCAAAATGAATTTTGTTTATTCTAAATTATGTGTATATTATTTCTCCTCTCCTCCATAAAACGTTCTCCATCATGTATTTTCATGAAAGATAATCATTATGCTTTCAACAATTCATTATTTACACCTGCGACCTTGGACTATATATTGTATTTTACTAATCGATAATCAATAAACCAACATTTCAAACATAAGTTTTACCATTATCCCGAGCAAATTAAATTACTTTGAATTCTCTCATTATCAGATCTTATAAATTGTACATACACGACTCTCGAGAAATGAAACATGCAATGCCCGTGTTATAGAAACTTACCTGGCTGTTTTGTTCTACCTGTTCACTGGAGTAAATACGGGACCTTGTTATCGAAGTTCTAAAGCTCCAATAAAAGTGCGGTAATTCACTCGTGACACATATTTCGCAAGCGGATCCACGTATTTGGTAATAAAACAAAACATTATTTCAACATTTTCTTAATTGCTTTCACGTACGTATATTAATGTTTATTTCAAATATTTTTTTCTATATAAATAGAAAAACTGCACATCCCCGGGCAACCAAAAATCTGAAGGAGAAAAAACAGTACATACATGATCTTATTCAGCAAACTATCGGGGATTGCCAATTAAACAGATTGTACAAAATTTCATCCTATGTCGATTTCTTTATATAAGAAGTTTGAAATTAAAAAGCTGTCACACCTGGTGGTATACGGGGCACTGTGCGACCCCACCCCCCCCCCCCAAAAAAAATAAATAAATAAATGTTTAAGATAAGTTGAATTTTTTTACTCATCATTTTACAGTTACATATATGATACCAAATTTGGATTACTTGATATGTGAAAAATTAATTCAAAAATATACAAGATTTAAAAAGAAAATGTTAGCTTAATGGAATGGAATAAAAATGAGTATGCCAGTCTCCCCTTTCAAAAATCGGGCCCGGCCCTTGGTTGGAATAAAGGTACACTGATTTTAACAAAATATTAATGCCTCAAGCAAGGATCGAATAAAAACTGATCAATCCCACCATTATGTCTCCCACCATTTACAGTTAATATGAATTAATACTGTGATATCGCCTCTTAATTCATACTGTACATTGTTGTGAAGTGTGTTGTATTTGTATTGTTTCATCATGTCTATTATTAGTAACATTAAGTTTCTTGAACATTCCAGAGTGGTCAACATGTTTGGTCATTTTATCTAGAACATTCTTAAATTTTGTGTATGTCCAGATTGTTCCAGTAATATCATGTTTTAATAATTTCTAGAATATTCTAGATTTATGATACAATACTTTGTCGTATAAGCACTATTGAGATATAACTGGGATATATAATTACACTGGACATTGTGTGCAGCAACGGACACTCTGATGTATGTATTTTTAGATTCTTGCTAAGTTTGTACTTTATGTTTGATATATTTATTATATATTACTGTAAATAAATTATTGTTAAGTTTAAATTGTGTTATTGATCGTTGCTGGCATTTCGGGTAATTCTGACCCATAACAGAATTGGGGGCTCGTCCGGGATCAAGAATTTCTTGCACTTTTGCAGTTTATTGTCAGAATTTTGTTTATTGAACCGTTAAATTTGATTATAAGCCAGCAAAAATCAACATGGTATTTTCGGTCACTGACTTTCTTAGTTCACCAAGTGTTCAGGTTTTTGATACGTTAAAAAAGGATGACTTGATCGCATTAGGTTTGCATTTTGGGTCAGAAGTGAAATCCTCTCAGAGAAAGCAAGACATAAGAATTAAGGTTGCAAACAAACTAGTAGAAGAAAACATCTTTGAAAAATACGATCTTCCAGAATATACAGTTAAATCAGAGTTAGGCTCTTATAAAATGGCAGAATATCAGTTTCAATTAGAGTTAGAGAAAATGCGATTTGAAAGAGAAAAATTAGAAAGAGAAGAACGAGAGCGTGAACGAAAATTTGAATTAGACAAATTAGCAGTAGAAAGAGAAGAGCGAGAAAAAGAGCGCGAAATGAACTTTGAGTTAGAGAAATTAAGATTACAGCACCAACCAGAACCGTCATTTGTCAAGAATGAATTTGACGTAGCAAAAAATATTAGGTTAGTTCCGAAATTTCAAGAAAAATCTGTAGATAAATATTTTCCCCAATTCGAAAAAGTCGCAGCGAATCTTAAATGGCCACAACATGTTTGGTCAACAATGTTACAAAGTGTACTGGTTGGCAAAGCAGCTGAGGTATACTCTGCACTAGGGGTAGCTGAAAGTTCAGACTATGAGAAGGTCAAAGCAGCAATATTAAAAGCATATGAATTAGTATCTGAAGCATATAGACAAAAATTCAGAAAGTATAGGAAGTTTGATAATCAAACATTTGTTGAATTTTCACGAGAGAAAGAAGATTTATTCGATCACTGGTTTAGATCTAAGAAACTTGATAAAACTTTTGCTAATTTGCGCCAAGTCATCCTGGTAGAAGAGTTTAAGGAATGTGTTCCTCAAGATTTGAAAACATACTTAGAAGATAAGAATGTGAAAACTCTTGAAGAGGCAGCAGTCATATCAGATATACTTATGCTCTGTCTCATAAAAAGAATTTTGTTTCAAGATCTCAGACTAGCAGTAATTCTACCAATTCAGACACATATAAAAAGAGTGGTTGAGGGTCTCAGTCTTTCACAAGTTCCCAGACTCCATCCCAAGGTGGTTTTAAGTCCAGTTCAGGACGTGTTGAAGGATCGTCTGGAATAGGGTCGCTTCCTACTTGTAGTTATTGTAAGAAAAAGGGTCATCTGATCAGTGAATGCTTTAAACTTAAGAGAAAAAATGATTTTGATAAAACTCAACCACATGCTTGTGCGGCAGTTAGAGGTGATAGAGAAGCCTTAGTTTCGATTTGTTCTGACACTCCTGATGTCCAGGGTTCACAGTCCAGTTCTATTGATTCTATGGAGGATTATAAGCCCTTTATGTCTCAGGGATTTGTTTCACTCGGTGACTCTAGCGAAATAAAACCTGTCCAGATTTTGAGAGATACTGGTGCTGCACAGACGTTATTGTTAGAGGGCGTGCTTCCTTTGTCTGAGCAGACTTCTACTGGTGGGTCAGTTTTATTACAGGGTGTGGAGCTAGGCGTCATTGATGTTCCCCTGCATAGAATTAGTTTGAAGTCAGATTTAGTTACTGGACCTGTTATCGTAGGTGTTCGACCTACTCTTCCCGTTCCAGGCATTTCTTTGTTGTTAGGCAACGATTTAGCTGGTGGGAAGGTTGTACCTGATCCTATAGTTTGTGAGAAAATCACTTCCAATGTCATGTGCGATGATGAAGATGATGACATTTATCCAGCCTGTGCTGTTACTAGAGCGATGGCCAGAAGACGAGAAATGGAGGCAGACCATACTCAAGCCTTTGACGAGACGAATTCCTCTGTTAATATTGATTTGAATGACACTTTCTTATCTGACCTTAATGGCACTCAAACAAACATGGAACCACACAATATCAAGAAGCAAGAGAAGAAAGAACTGTTACCAAAATTTGGTGGTGAGGATGATGAGTTGCATCCACTAGTTAGCCAAGGCAAGGACATCCTCAGCCGAGAACGTTTACTCTCTGAACAACATAAAGACCCAGATATCATTCAACTTAGTAAGAGGGCACTTCCACCAGAAGAGGTTACTAAAGTTGGAGAATGCTTCTATATGAAAGACGGCATCCTTATGCGAAAATGGCGACCACCTGATGCTTCTCCAGATGAAGTGTGGCGTGTTGTTCACCAGATAGTGGTCCCAGCTGCTTATCGTCGAGATGTCATGAGTTTAGCTCACGATACACCTATGGCTGGTCATTTAGGTATCAATAAGACTTATAATAAGATTTTGAGTCATTTTTATTGGCCTAAGCTAAGAAAGGATGTTTCGAAGTTTTGCAAGTCATGCCATGTCTGTCAGATGGTAGGTAAACCAAATCAGAAGATACCATCTGCTCCTCTCCAACCCATTCCAGTTTTTGAAGAACCGTTTAGTCGAGTATTAGTGGATTGTGTAGGACCTTTGCCTAGGACCAGATCTGGAAACCAGTATTTACTTACCATTATGTGTACATCCACTCGATTTCCTGAAGCCATACCTCTAAGGAATATAAAGGCAAAGAGCATAGTTAAGGCCCTAACCAAGTTTTTCAGTTTTGTAGGAACACCCAAGGCAATTCAGTCGGATCAAGGCTCAAATCTTATGTCGGGGTTGTTCCAGCAAGTCATGCATGAGTTGGGTATAAGGCAATATAGATCAACTGCTTATCATCCTGAGTCCCAGGGAGCGCTAGAACGTTTTCATCAAACCCTAAAAACAATGCTGAAGACCTATTGTTACCAATATGAAAAAGACTGGGACGAAGGGGTTCATCTTGTGCTGTTTGCTGCACGAGAGGCAGTCCAGGAGTCTCTTGGGTTCAGTCCTTTTGAATTGGTGTTCGGACATACAGTTAGAGGTCCTTTGAAATTGTTGAAGGAAAAGTGGCTGACTGAGACTAGTGATCTTAATCTTTTAGATTATGTGTCTGATTTCAAAGAAAAACTTTACAATGCTTGTAAATTAGCACAAGAAAATTTGAAGAGTTCTCAGTTGAAAATGAAAATGTGGTATGACAAAGATGCCAGAAATAGGGTGTTTAAACCAGGTGATAAGGTTCTTGTATTTTTACCTATTCCTGGTCATCCTTTACAGGCCAAATTTTATGGCCCTTATGAAATTGAAAGCAAGATCAGTGATGTAAACTATGTAGTTAAGACACCAGGTCGACGTAAAGAGAAACGGGTTTGTCACATTAACATGTTAAAAGAGTATTTTGAAAGGTGTGACCGAAATTCTGTAAAACCAGTTTCCAATTTAGCCAATGCTAAGACTGTTCAAAATTGTATTGAAAGTGATACGAGTAAAGAAATGAATGAGAAAGATTGTAATCAGAGTGTCCGCTTGAAAAACTCAGAAATTTTGGCTGATTTTGATGCCAAACTTGGACATTTGAACATTCACCAAAAAGAACAAGTTAAAAACTTGATGAATGAGTATCATCAAATCTTTTCGGATGTTCCAAAGAAAACTAATGCAGCTTGTCATGATGTCATAGTGAGTGACGTTCTGCCTATCAAACAACATCCGTACCGTCTGAATCCAATAAAATTGCAGTACCTAAGAAGGGAAGTGCAGTACATGTTGGACAATGACATTGTTGAACCTAGTAAAAGTGATTGGAGCTCACCGTGTATTCTTGTACCAAAACAGGACGGTTCGTACCGATTATGTACAGACTTTAGAAAGGTGAATTCTGTTACCAAAACAGATTCATATCCAATACCTAGAATCGATGACTGCATTGACAACATTGGAAACGCGAA